CCAAGCAGCAGGACGTTTATTATCAGGAGATCCATCAGGAATGTCGTCAGCTTTACGTTTACCAGCGCCGACAAGCCCGATGGAGATTTAGATTTACTTGCAGGATTGATGGCGGAAGATTCTCAAGCACAGAGGATACCAAAGAAGAAGGATTTGGCTTGAGGTTCGAGGAAGAGTTCGATGCAGAGATGGGTTTGAAGCCGGCCTTTCGCGGAGCCATGAACCCAGATGGGGTGTGGAAGCCGTCCATCGGAGACGACGAGGAAGAGCCGATGACCGAATGGATGTGACTGCCCAGTCCGTTCATAAGATCTGGACCAGAAGAGATCGTGTGTTTGTTGTGAGCTCGATTGATCGCATTGGCGCCGATCCCTTCTTTCCCTTCTCGGCCCCCTCCTTTGGTCTTTTTGCCGCCATTGCTTGTCCCGGTTGTGGGCTTCGCTAGGGAGGATAGGAACTCCTCTTGATGCGGCGCCGAGCCTTTGTTTCCAACCGATAAGATCATCGTCGCCGTCCCTAGTTTCTCTTGTCGCTTTCGGAACGCTTCGTTTGTTCCCGTAGGCGTGTCTCCTGATGCCATCGCTGCCTACAAAAAAAAGCCAAACACCCCCCAAAAAAATGAAACTTGTTAGTCATTCAATGAACAGAGAAAGAAAAGAATGAATGAAGATAATGGATGAGCAATGACTTACTAGTTTTTTCTCTTCTTCGATTTTTTTGATTCTTTTTTCAGTCTTAGCTTTGCCGCTACCTTTGCCATGAAACTTATGCGAAAGGGCTTTCCAAGCCTCTTTACGCGACAACTCTCTGCCAAACTCGTCGTTATATTTGATCTCGACGTCGGGTTTATAATGCCGATAAGCTTCCATGGCGTCCTTAGCCGCGGCGGCCTCGCGCATCCTGTTTTCGTATTCCCGGGTGGCTTGGTCTTTGGCATCACCCATCTTCTTGGTCTTCTCCTTCTCCAACTCTCGCGCCGCTTCTCGTCTCCGTTGTTCGATTAACCAGGCCATCTTCTCCTTGTATAGGCGTTCTTTCTCTCTCTCTTCTGGAGTCATAGGCTTGATCAGGCCTTGTGACTTGAGTAAGGATAAGGTCGAGGCCATCCCGCCCGAGACATATTGCTCGGATCCGGTCGCTCCATAACTCGTCGACTCGTCTTCGACTTCTTTCACTTCCCCAACCTCTGGTTTGTCCTGCTTAATAACCTTCTCTGAATCGCCGGCCATCAATCGTTCCATCTCTCGTCGTTCGGCTTCCTCGTCGATCACCGAATCTGTCTCGCTCTCGGCAATCGCCCCAAGACTGGGCTCGATCGAGACCGGCTTGGGCTTGTTTCGTGCGATTTCCTCCTTTCGACGAAGTTCGGCTAACCGTTCTTGTTGCAGACTGATCGTCCGAATAAATTCCGAAGCATCATCGATCACCAGTCGGCCATCCTCTACCTCCTCCTCTTCTTCTTCTTTTTCATTCTCAGCTGGTAGTGATGATCGTGCCTCGATCATATCCTCATCCTGATCTAACTTGTCGGCTGATTTTTGTTCGGTTTGGTGATGCTTCCGTCGTAGCTTGCCTGCTTCCCTACGCATCCGTGACATCGCTACTTGTAGCTCTTCATCATCTATCACATCCGCCTCGACTGTCGGTTGTCTGGGATTAGGCGGGTCTATATCCATCCCATCCTTCGGCCTGTCTTCCGCTTCCTCCTCTGGGACCGTCGATGTCGGAGCTCGTTGTTTGCTCTTCTTCGATTTTGTTTTCTTTGTCTTCTTCTTGAAACCTGGATCACCTTCTTCTAAATAATCATTACCAATTGTTTCTGTTTTTTTTTGTAAAATAAGAAAACAAATGTTAATCAGTGAGCAGTACAAATCGCCTGATTAATCATGTGATAAAGAAAATAGAAGAAAAAAGAGGGGAAAAAAAGCTTGAAGCTTTGCTGTCACCTTACTTGAATAGTCCAAACTGAGCAAATCTTTTTTGAGGATATCTGCGGTTTCTTTTTTAGTGATTTTAGATCGATTAGTAGCATCGATTGTTGAGTGAAGATTTGAAGGATCTTGATCGACTGAATGATCATGACCGAGTCTAAAAGATTTATCGACTTTGCCATCGATAGTATCGGAATATTTAGCAAGTACGGTTTGCGATTGACCGGGATTGAGGAATTCGTCGTCATCATAGCCGGTGTATTCCCCGGCCTGTCGCCCTTGACGTTTGAGTTCGAAAGCCTCCTTGGTTCGATTCTGTTCGGCTAATTCGACGTTCTCTAGTTCGTCATCCTCTCCGTCTAGGATCTTGGAATCTTTGAGGGTTAGGACCATCTTCTCTTCTTCGTTCATATTCGATTCGATATCTTTCAGGTCATGTCCAACCTTGAGTCCTTCGAGATCTCGCGAGCCATACTCTACTTCATCCGCATTCAGTTCAGCCTCTTTCTTCTTGGCTGCTAGCTGCGAGTCGTTCTTTGCTGATTTTTTCTTGTGTCTTTTGACCCATTTCTTGAGATCGTCTACGTCGTCTTCTCCTGCTTGATGATTCGATGGTACAAGTTCTCCTAAACCACGTCCACTAAGTTTTGCTAATCGTTCTCGATTCTCTTTTGCCTTGATGACTCGTTCTGCGACTTTCTTTGATGCTACTCCATCGGCTTCCTCCTGACGATGTTTGTTATAGTTCTCTTCTGCTTGTTGGTCTGGATCGAGTTCTTGGGTTGTGCTGGTTGAGTCTGCTGGGGTTGGTAGTGGTTTGAGTCCGAGTGAGATCCTGATCTTGTTGGTCTCTTCTATCGATAGACTCTCCTTGACTTGCGACATCGTCTGCTTCTGTCTATTTACGTGTTTGATGAGTTGATGGTTCGTGTTCACTCCTCTGCCGAAAGTGTATACTGCGGTCTTCCTCTTGACCACCACCACACCCCCCCGGGGGGTAATCTTCCCGCGGTACAAGCATCACATATTCAACTCAGCCTGAAATCCGCCAGCCCTTGGTGCACCAGTATATGTATATATACCGATGGACATCAGAATACATAAATATGAAATCAAAATGAGAATACTTTTCAACCAATTTTCAGATACTCTAAAAACAGTTTCCCATTACTTGTTTTCTTTGCAAGATAAGTGAATATTTATTGATTGTCAGCTTAGCTTCTATCACTCTTGTTCTTTTTGCACATACTTCCTTAATATTTTTATAAAATTAAAATATACATCCATGAGAAATACACATGGCTTTCTTTTGGAAATGATTTTTAGTTATTTTGAAGAAATTGATCCTATGAATAAAATTGATCAAGTTGTACTGTCATGTATTGAAATATAAATCCCGGATCAAGAAATCAAAAAAAAGTTAGGTCAAAAACTCACTCCGAAATTCTTCATCAAAAAGTTGAGGACAGCTTCTGCTACATATGAAGAATTGATGCAAAATTCTCAGAAAAATGATATTCTGTGTTCTGAGTTTGATATGTAACTGGATGGCTGGTTTTCAAACAATCAGCTGATATAAAGCACTGCTGATAATTTGATTCCATGAAGTTTTCAAAGGGAATGAAGATTTGATAGCAGAATTTTTTGAATGATCATTTCAGATGAAAAATTACTACATAGAGATTCAATGACCTTTCTCAGTTTGAACATCATTGGTTTCAACAACCTTAGTATTCAGATTCAGGTCACAAAATCTGGAAAATATATGCCCATTGGTCAGTTTTTTATAGATCATAAAAAATACCCCCGCAAGGAATTTTGACAGTCTTTATAATAGCCCATCACAAAGGTGGATTGCCACTTCCGGGCAAATTTTCTACAAATCAAACTCAACTAAATCTTATGGCAATAGTGAGTCGACAAACGAAGCAAGTCGCGAAATTCGGGCTCATATCAACTTGCCGAAAATGCATCGGTTGACAGGATATGTAGACTTTGGAAACCAACTCGAAAAGTTTCATTCCTATCTCAAGGGCCCCGCTCAAAACAGATTATTCCAGTTGAAGGGAAAACACGGACACATAACTGCCATCAGGCCACATAGATCCACCAATAAACCTGGACTAGGGAGCTCACGTAGAAACTTGGCACCTGAAATTTTGAAAAACCGAATTTCGGAGAATAATTCCAATTCTATGTAGTGTCGAGAAATTCAAAACCCATCAACCAGTCATTTTAGAGGGTGATTTATTGGATGCGGTAAATGATAAGGTGACGGAGGAATTAGGTCATATCTGGAAATCATTACAAATTCAACTAAAGAACCTTCATTCTCAATCCCTGCAAGCATCCGAAAACAGCTCGGCCAACTTGGTTCCATTGAGGTGTTTACTCCTCCTAGCCAATCTTGTTCATCAGCATGATTTCCTGCCTTCTATCTCGAACCACTGCTACGATATATTATCGGAGACTGTGTTCAACGTCATGGTCATCTGATGAGAGATGTCAAAGAATCTTGAGTCATGACGTAGCCGGCCTATCAAATCATAAATTGTGGCTTCTCAAAAGGATTTTTTTTTGTTCCAGTCAAATGAATACCCTGAACTCATCTGGAGACTGTTGCCATCAATTGTGCTACCCCCAATTTTTCTATTTAAGTCTTCCCAAGCAGGACCCAAATCCCCCCTCCTTTGGAACTCGGGTTGGGCGCGACTCCATTGGAGGGGAGGAGGGGCTCGTGTTGAGTTTGAATCGAACGCAATGAACGAAATGTTTTCCGCCTGAAGAGTCTTCTGATGTATCAAAAGACTTTCACTCCCCATGATCAAGAGATCTTTGAAACTCTTTTCCATGAGCCAGTTTACTTTTTCACGCACAACCAAGCTCTTTCCTGGCTGTTGCAGCAAAGGTTAGTACGGACCTTTGGTCCTTTATCCGAAATGTATGTATCAAGGAACCAGTTGTCATGTATTCATGTACAATTAATGAGTAAAAAGGGCTTTGAGCTCTAGGGGTTGCGTATATATATACAGCTCATTTTGGGACCCTTTCCGCCCCTTTTCGAGTGATCCGCCCGTAGTACTGCTCGCCGCCCGCTGGTAGTGTCAAGTTTCCCGGTCGCGAACCCATTCATGGACCGCGTGGCCTATGAATTGAACCACGCCCACTTCATTTTCAAAGCAGAACAATCACTTATGGATGTATTGACCTTCAACAAGACCTGGAAAGACCTGGATGCGGAGGAGCTGATACAAGAACGGGTTGCATCACGAATGGCAACATCTTCAACGGGTACATAAATATACATCTAATAGATGTGCCCTAACGTACTGTATCGTGGATTTCTGCCGGGACCCGAGGGGGGATGGGAGACAGGATGTTGAGTCGAACAACTGATACAGACTGTGCACCTGAGGAACTCGCCTTGAAGGATGCAGGCTGGCAGGCAGATAAAAGGTGCTCCACAATTGCCAGAGCCCGTTTCATCATCTCCACTATCAGTTTCAGCTCCAGCAGCCATTTCTTCCCTTTCCCATCTGAATATACGAGCCATCAATTCATTCTTCCCTTACAATGGCGTTCAACCAATATACCTTCTGGCAAGGCCTTTTCATGCTTCTTTCCGCCATGTCTGCCATATCCACAACGGCTCCAAAGTCTGATTCCAATCCTGGGATGAATGAAAATACCGTCCTTCCTCGCCTAGCTGGGTTCGTCATCCGTTTTTCCTCCTGACCAGTGCCCCGTCCAAGTTGTTGATTATTTCTCCCGTCCATTACATTTCTGCATGGCTCTTTCAAATGGCACTTTTTCAGAGTGAGTCAAAAGATATTCTGTTCCCAAAATACCAGGGGTACTCTTCTCGTACTTTTTGAAGTTTTGCTGATGAGAATGAGTTGCAATTTTGAAAGGTCAACTTGGCAGGTTGGGACTTCGGTGCACAAACTTCAGGTCAATACACACCTGGTAGTACTGGTGTCGCCCCACCTAAGACCCAAATCACCCATTTCCTCAAACAGAATGTCAATCTGCTGCGGGTCCCAGTGGCCTGGGAATTCCTCCAACCGGAAAGAAATACAAAGCTCAATGCTACTAACGTCAAAGTCTACCGTGAATATATTGAAGAGATCACAAGTCAGGGAGCGTATGCAATCATTGACCTTCATGCGGTAAGTTTTCTTTTGGCGTATTGTTCTCATTCCCTTGGCCTAAATTTAATCAAATCATGAACACTTCTTCAGTATGCCCGTTACAAGAGCGAGATTGTTGGCGAGTCGCCAAACATGCCCGCTTCTGTTCTTGTCAATTTATGGCTTCAGCTAGGCGGTCTATTCAAAGATAACAAGAAAGTACTCCTCGGACTATCCAACGAACCTCATGACCAAGGTAAAACTCAAGCTTCGCCTGTCCTCCATTGCCTCCTACGAAGCTCATGCAAAAAGTGATTTTGTTCAACCTTCACTCCAAAAAAGATATCGATAAATGGGCTGTGACGGTGCAGAAGGTAGTGACTGCCCTGAGAAAGGATGGAATCGACAATATAATACTCTTGTCAGGAACAGACTACAGCTCTCTTAAAGCTTTTCCCGAATGGTACAAATCGATGAAAACGGTCAAAAACCCTGACGGATCTTTTGAGGGTCTTTGGTTTGAGGTGCACCGAGTAAGTATTCCGATGTCCATCACCAAAACAGTTACAATCATTTTTTTTTCTTTTCAGACCGAGGAAGGTTCTGAAACTTACAACCATTACATTTTCCTGTTACACAGTACCTTGATACTGACAACTCCGGCAAAAGTACAGAATGCGTTGCCAGTCACGCCGACGAAGTGGTCAATGTTGCAAAGATGTTGAAAGCCGACGGCAGACAAGTCCTACTTGGAGAAACGGGTGGTGGCAGCACCGAGAGCTGCATGACATATCTCCCGGAACTAGTACAAGCAGTGGTGGAGGTGAGTCGTTGAAAAAAACTAGTTGTAGGCAAAAACCAGTAGCATGTCTCGTTCATCACCCCCTCCGTTTCTTCCAGGCATATCCTGTATTTTCGGGCTTTGCTATTTGGTCGGCTGGTGCCTTTGGAGCGGTGAGTCTTTGCGACGTTCTGGAATTCTTTTCGTGTACGAAAACTGACAATGTACCCATAAACAGACATACGAACTGGTCGTCACAGTTCAAGACGACTCCTCGGTGAGTGGCTTGCAAATGAGTTACACAGGATGTTATGATCATAGCTGACGGTTTTCTTGCCCCACCCTATCTAGCCCACCGGATGGAAAGACCAAGGCAATTGGCTATCAATTAAAAAATTCCTCCCCAACAAAGCTTCCTTGGCGCATAGAAACAAGCCCTCCACCGGCGGTGCGAAAAAGAACGCAAGGAGGTCGATCGTCTCTAACTGAAGGTCGGCGAAGAACGGTTTCGGCTATGATTCAGAAATATCATGGTTTTCTTTCTTTTTCTTCGATCCATGTTGAGCATGCTTTACCTTTCGAGTTTTTCTGCCGCAATCCGACCTCGCGAGCGATACGTGCACATTTTGATCATAGTGTGGATTCATTCTTGTTCGTGTTGATAATGTTAAACGATAAAATAAAACAAAATCAAATATCTCCTCCTTGGAAATCAAACGATTCGAGAGGGTTTGTCGTCATTTTTGCACCCAACGCTTTCTTAAGGCGAGATCTTGCTAGTCTTGTATCTAGCTGGATTTTGGATCAGAATTCCATAAAACTGGTGAACCATGATGGAAAACGAATAGGTGCCGGTTTACAGACCAGAGCAGGCAAATTTTCAGGTTGGGCGCCTGCCCTTTGATGCGGCTTCATGAGTTATTTTTCTTGCTGAGGATATTTATGAAATCTTCCCTGTGAGACAGAGAATCTGCCTTAGTATCAAGTTTTTACCAGTCAAAGGATTTCAGCACCTGTACAAGCTAATCCATAGGAAAATGTCTGAGTGGTGTATTTTTTGCTTTCAGCTGCTTTTTTCAGAAAATCAAACATAAGTTGAAGTCGAACTTAGCAGTTCCTAACTTAACTAAGTCCCTCTCTATTCGGAGGGGGGACGCTGTCCCGCAGGGACCCTCCAAAGGAGGGACTTATGTGCTATGTCGCCCTGCTGGCCTATGAGGACTTGGAAAAAGTCGCTTTTTTTTCAAAGGTCTCCACAGGCGTCTTGACGCACCCAATTCCTAGCAAGTCGACCACCAAAAGAAGCGGCACATCTGTGAGAATCAAACCGAGCCCTTCACCAGGTCATAGAGGTCCAGGGGGAATTTTCAGCCAAACCTTTAGTTTTGTGTCCAATGTTTTTCTTTTTCATGGCCATCCTGTATGGACTGCCACAGGTCACACACAACAGCAACTCAACAGAATACAGAGGAGAATTCTGCTGCTTGTCTCATAATAACAGGTCTGTTGATATGTACTTCGACTGATACAGTTTGCTTGCATGGAAGACTCAGGGCTATGAGCCAATGTCATAACACATATTCCAGAGTGACCAAAACGCAAATTGAAGCAGAGAGCTCCAACCATGAGGGGTGAAGGGAAGCGGTAAGTATGAGCAGATGCACATCAGTGCCACCTCCATGCCGGTCAAACCCAGGGGGAAAATGTTGATGAATGAGTGAGTGGGTGGAGTTTTAAAATTTCCCCCAGCCAACTGCCTAATCCTCATGGGCGGTGGGGGCGACTTAGCCCATAAGTCCCTCCTTCGGAGGGTCGCTTCGCGACAAAGGGGGACTTAGCTAAGTTAGGCAGTTCCAGCTTCTGGGAGGCGGGGCAGGGGCCCTCGAGCGAAGCGCTCCATGAGACAGACCCTGCGGGGCTCTCTGAAGCGAACTTAATGCAAGTCCCGATTCCCTCTAACTTAACCAAGTCCCCCCTGGTGGGAGGCTCGCTGGTGCAAAGCACTGGCTGGTGGCGAAGCCACCCGGGAGGGACTTATGAACTTTGTGGGGGTGCTTGCCTGAGGGAATCTTTGGAAAGCAGGTTAAGTCTCCAGAGACTGTAGCTCAAAGGGCAATCAAGCTACATATATGGTTCACTTCTGCAGAGAGAAAGATGCAATTGCATCCTGGCTTGCCTTCTGTCAGCTCCGCTTTTGAAGATATATCTTCGATCAAAAGATTGAAGCAGCAAAACAAGAAATAAGAACTTGCCATACTTGAGGCCGGGGGCCCAAGCGCAGCCTGAGATGGGTGTGGCCTTGACTTGTCTTGACAGGCTTCAAAAATTTGCCAAAAAAACCCTTGTGGGTATCTAGCTGAGGTTACGGGCTCTAAAAATCACGACAGCAATGCTCTTTCTAAGTTTTGGTTGCTGGAATTGACAGCATCAAAACTACAGGCTGGAAAATCCAAAGAGCGAATTTCCAGCCTGTTTTGGTGGGTGGACTCAGGCAAGCACCCCTGCAAAGTTTGTAAGTCCCTCCCTGCGGGAGGGGTGGCTTCGCCACCAGCCAAACTTGAGCTCCACCCAAAAACAACCTCCCGCATAGGGAGGACTTTGTTAAGTTAGCAATTCCCTGCTGTGGGCGGCATTGGCATGGGAGTGGCCTCGCCACTGTCGCATTGCGCCGACCGCAGGGAGGCAGACCCTGCAGGGCTGCCCTCCGGGCTCTCACCAGCGAGGCTTGTGTTAGGCTCTTCTCTGAAGCCTTCTACATAAATACACCTTACTGTCATACTTGTTATGTATGACTACGTACAAAGTCTGATTCCTACAGCCAAACCAACAATGCTTGCAACTTTTGACAAAAAAAAAATAAAAAGTTTGACTTGCAAAGACAAACTTTTTGGCTTATGGGACAGTATAAAGGGTGGGAAAATCAGGACAACTCAACTATCTGCTATCAGAAAGTGAGAGTTCCGACAGGCAGCCAACTGACATTTCAATTAAAATAATTTTTGTTGCTCGAGCAAACTTTCATTTTTTTTGTAAAAAGTTGCAAGCATTGTTGGGTATGCTGTATCCTTATGTAACAAAAAATATAAAAGTGTCTGACACAGAAGCTCTGATAGTGTTCCAGCGAAGTATAAATATGGTCCGCATTCTTAACTCCGATCAACACTGTGAGCTGAAATTTTTCTGATTATATCCCCGTTGAAAAACAACTGTCACTATGTACTGGCGATGATACCTCAACCCAGCCTCTTATTTTAGCTAATCTAAACCCGCTTCTTGTAACATATAGAGTACATCAGCCATGAGGACCAGTCACTAATAGTATATGTATTCTTGCAAATTTTATAAATGTTAAATACTCAGTATGATGATCTATATGTTTGTTAAGTAACTTGAAAATTTTTGAGATTGAGTTACATCCATAGCAATAGCATTGATGATCAGTGTGATAAAAGATGAGGTCAAGTTTCAATTTCAACACAAGATTTATGCGCAGCCAGCATTAATATAAAGTGTATGCATTCATGTGCGGAGATGGTGAATTACATTTGTACATACATTAAATAAGGTCCTGCCGAGATGTTCCAAGTTCAGAGATGGCCTACTGTTGTGATTTTGACACATATAAGAAGATAATAGCTCCCACTTGTTATGCCAAACCAAAACCTTCACCTACTCAGTATTCATTTTAGAGAATGTTTTGTGAATTCCTAATTTTCAGCTTGACTATTCTTCCAGCTACAGTTTTGGCACCTGCTCCTTTCAAGGCTGCTGAAATTGGAGGAACTACTACCAGTCAGAGAGGTGTGTAGTCTTTTTGAAAAAAATAAGTTGATACAGAACAATACTGATTTTTCATTCAACAACCTTGAATGCCTTGCTCCTCCAATATTTGACAGGAATTCCCCTTGTGAGAGAGAACAGGCAATTGCTTCAAAGTTCAGATCAAGATTTCTCAGTATCAGGCTCATTCCAAGATTTGGGAACAGTCATCAGAGCAGAAGGGGGGGTCAATAAATCCTCTGTCCCAAGATTTATAGAAGGTTGGATACCAAATAATGATTTGGCTTATAAGAAATGTAAATTAATTCTAAAAATTCCAAAAATTAGGTGAAGAGTGCTTAGAGTTAGAAAATGATGGATGCTGATCATGACTTTATTTCAAGTTTTGGATCAAAATTTATACTTCAAAGAGAATGAAGGTCATTCCACTCTAATATTATTATTTAGGTAAATTAAATACCAGACTAATCAAGATTTTCATTGTGCTTTTAGATAAATTGAATGCATTTGATGATGATTGCAAGAAGCTCCAGATTCTATTGGAGGAAATTTCAGATCAATATAAACGGGCAACAGGATTTCAAGGAGCAAGATCTGAAGACTTCAGGAATGATTTGGAATCTTCAAATATCATTCATGAGAAAATGGTTACCTTCCAAAAACTGAAACTCCTTGACCTAAAAATATTACATCCCAAGCTTCAAAAATATAGTGAAGACAGCATGAGGGGAAAGCAATTGCACCACTATGAAATTGTGTCTTCAGAAATACTTTTACCTGGTGGAATAGAGGCTTTTGTGAATTCATTTGTCCATGAAGTGAAGCAAATCCTTTCTGGATGTCACTATGAATACCATTATTCTAACATATCCTACAAAAAGAGTAAAATTCTTGAAGACAGGAAGATATTTCAATATCTTTGGGGAGCTATTGATCTCCTGTTCAAGAATAACTTCATCAATGAGGAACATGTCAAACAAATATTCCAAGCAGACAAAAGTTTGTGGATGGCAAGCCGTGACCACATAATTTATCTTACACATAAATTGGGAAAAGATATACAAGAAGGAATGTCAAATATAACAGGACATTGGATGTGGAAAATGGGTTATGAATTTTTCAATGGTGAGTTTCTCAATTTAATTTCTCAAAAAAAATAATTAAACATTCCCTGTTTTGACTTTCAAACTGGTTATTTTCTGCTTTTTTTTCAAAATTAAAAATGAAAAATAGTCTTTAGTGAAGAAACTTGGTTAATGGTCAACCTTGAACTATCATTTTACAATCTGAAATGGAAGATTAGAAATGAAGCTGAATATAAATACTTTGCTGAAAATGAAGAATTCATTGCCTTTTTCAATTCATTCTCTATTGAAAAATATCATGATTGGTTTGAATATGGACACAGAAAGCCCAAACACCCACTAGACTTGGATGAGAATAAAGATATATTTGAAAACACTATAGAAATCCCAGAGGAATTCAAAATTGATGTTAGAAATCTTCGCAGTATGCTCATTTTTACGTTGAGGCAAGATAGTGAGGATATGTATAGATTGACACGTGACATATGTGAAATCCTTTCTATTGTTGAAAATAGCATATTCCCTGGAATCATCAAGATATCATTTTCAACAGAGCAGAAAAAGAATCCAATTTTGAGTCTTTTATACCAGAAATTTCCACAGGGATCGAAGAAAAAAGAAAAA